AACCCTAAACGGCCCTAAACCCTTAAACCCTAAACGGCCCTAAACCCCCTAAACCCCCTAAACCCTAAACCCTAAACCCCTAAACCCCTAAACCCTAAACCCCTAAACCCCTAAACCCGAAACGGCCCTAAACGGCCCTCAACGGCCCTAAACCCCTAAACCCTAAACCCCGAAACCCTAAGCCTTAAACGCCTAAACCCCTAAACCCTGAACCCCGGAAACCCTAAGCCCTAAGCGTCCGAACCCCTAAACCCTAAACGGCCCTAAACCCTGAAAAAATGAACCCCGACACCCTAAACCCTAAGCCATGTCTGATCCCAATCTTCCCTAAACCCTAAACCCTAAACCCTAAACCCTAAACCCTAAACCCTAAACCCTAAACCATACCTTCGACCGAAGGCTTTAGGCCTAGGTCGGGAGGGAGATGAGGGCTCGCCAGCATGTCACAACACATGTATACATATACGTTTGCAGGGTCTAGGGTTTCGGGTTTAGGGTTTAGAGATTCAGGGTTTAGGGTTTAGAGGTTTAGGCTTTAGGGTTTAGAGGTTTAGGGTAGGGTTTAGTATATATATATATATATATATGTGTAAAGGCACACACATACACACACATGTACATACATGCATGGGCGTGTATATGTACACTGTGCACACATGGGCATAAATGTGAGTGGCAAACTACACATAAAGATCAAGATGTGTAATACGTATTCAACTTCACCACATACATAAAACAAGAACATAAGTATAGATATGACTAGTTCGAATAAATAAAGAACTTATAGATAAATAGATAAATTTGACCAAATAAACAAATAATGTATATACATATATATATATATATCTGTATATATATATATATATCTGTATATATATATATATATATATATTTATTTATTTACGAAAGTAAGTCAGCAAACACGAAAACAAATAGAATCAATTACTTTGAGCCTGTAAACCCGAAGCCCCAAACCCTTAACCCCAAACCTTATACCCTAAACCCTATACACTGAACCCCAAAAACCCTCTTCAATACCCAAAACCCCAAAACTCAGAAATTTTTCCCAGGCCTGGCATGCCTCCCGGTGCGCTGCCTCCCGGGCCCATGGGCCCGCCCCCCTCCATGGCGCCGCCGCGCAGCCAGTGAGGCCGGGGCTGTCGGTTAGGGTTTAAGGGGTGTGTTAGGGGTTTGGGGTTTGGGGTTTGGGCTTTAGGGTCTAGGGTTTAGGGTTTAGGAAGGGGCTTGGGTTTGGAATGCATCTTATCCTCGCAGGCTGTCACCCAGCCTACCCATCCACCTGGTTAGTCAAAGCCTCCTGATGCAGCCTGAGTCCTGAGTTTGGTGTAGGAATTTGGGTTTCAGGTTTTGGGGTTTGAGGTTTTTGGTTTCAGGCTTGGGATTTGTGGTTTGATGTCAAGCCCCTCAAGTCCCGGACGCTAGGCTAAGGCTAAACAGATTTCGGGGTCAGCAGGTTATGAAGTATTCTAGTAGCACCTAGCAGAGTCTTTGTCATTTGTGGGAAGCTACGGATGTCTTTGTTGCATGCTCGATCCTTCAGCGCCCTTTTCTTACTCGTTACAAAGACCTGCGGCTATCCGGGATGAACCTCAACACCCAAAACCAAAAACCCTAAATCCCCAAGCCAACAAACCCTTGTTATTTGGCACCTGGTTTCTGCATTAAACGACCCTACCAATAGAGTCTGTGCGCCCAACGGCGCGACGCTCACAACCCTAAACCCTAAGCCCTAAACCCTAAACCCTAAACTCTAAATCTTAAACCCGAAAGCTCAAAACAAGTTCTAAACCCTAAACCCCACACCCTAAACCCCACACCTTAAACCCCACACCTTAAACCCCACCCCAAACTCAGGTGCGGGTTCTTCCGCAACGGGAGAGAGCGAAATTGGCCTACGTCTCCTGCGGCCTGACAGAGGGGGCCAGGTCGCTTCGCCCTTGGGCCAGTTTCTCAAAATGTATATATATATATATATGTACACATATACATATATATATATATACATACATACATAAATGCGTATATACATATTATACATATATTATGCATATTGTACATGCATATACATATATATATATATAAAACTATCTATCTATCTATCTATCTATCTATCTATCTATCTATCTATATACATATAGAGTTATAGATAAAGACGCTTAAGTCGGTTTAGGATTTAGGGTCTAGGGTGTAGGGCATGACTCGGGATGGCTACCGGCCACCAGTACGAATTGTTCCTTCGGGGCTTTCATCGTATTGCGCACGCCCAAAGCACTAGTCTAATCATGGAAGCCCCTATATGAAGCCCTAAACTGTCCGGTGCCCTTGGGGCCGTAAACTGCGCAGTTTCCCAAATGCCTTGCTTGAAAGCCCTAAACCCTAAACCCTAAACCCTTAAACCCTAAACCCTAAAGCCCTAATAAACCCTAAACCCTAAACCCCTAAATCCAAAACCCAAAACCCGAAAGCCTAAAACCTAAACCCTAAAGCCTGAACCCTGAACCCTAGACTGGCTGGTCCCCTCAGATCTGCATCGAGGGCAGAGCTGTTAATCTCGACCTTGTGAGGTCGGAGAGCCTTTAGGGAACGCAGGGGCTTAGGGTTTTAGGGGTTTAAGGGTTTAGGGATTTAGGGGTTTAGGGTTTAGGGGTTTAGGGCTTCGGGTTTAGGGGTTTAGGGGCTTAGGGTTTTAGGGGTTTAGGGGTTTAGGGCCGTTTAGGGGTTTAGGGTTCAGGGTGGTTCAGGGCTGAATTGTGGGCCGATGGCATTAGTCTAGTAGCCCGATATCGCCGCCCTAAGATCCTAAACCCGAAACCCTAAAAAGGGGCGTCGTTTGAGCCTTGAGCCTCCCAAACAGAAACCCTCACACTGGATCCTATGATCCTACTCCCTAATCCTGAGCCCGGCCCCAAACCCTAAACCCGAAAACCCAAATCC